ATGTTGGGATGGGGGCACAGGCTTACGTTAGGGGTGTCTTGCTTTGGTTTCAAGTGGGACATAACCATGTTGGAAATGGGGGGCACAGGTTTACGTTAGGGGTGTCTTGCTTTGGTTTCAAGTGGTACATAACTATGTTACGTTAGGGGTGGTATGCTTATAGTATGCTTTGCTTTCAAGTGGTACGTTAGGGGTAGTATGCTCTGCTTTCAAGTGGTACATAACCATGTTTGAAATAGGGGGGGGGGCAGGCTTACGTTAGGGGTGGCTTGCTTTGGTTGATAGGGGGCACACGGACACGGACTTCCTTGTGTGACATGCTAGTTGTTTCTATTCAAGGTACCTTTTTTTAAACGATTTTTTGACACGGAATTTGCAAGGTATGATAAAGGCCCCTACGTAAGGCCCCTGTCGTGCATTCAAAACGTCCCTTTTGAAGGCAGCATAGCAGACCTATTTACCTCAATTTAAGGTACCTTTTTAGAAAAGATTTTTGACACAAAAATGATGCCATACAGTAGGAGAATCAAAGTTCCAATATACCTTTTCCTTCGGTAGCAGGTGAGGTGAGGATGTAGATCAGGGCCTTCCTGAAGTCCTCTACGTTGATGGTTGACTTCACAGAGACGTTCTCAGCACAGAGTTGTTGTAATGCTTCCTCTCTGATCAAACTACCAACCATCAGGTCATTGAGTTTTCTACTTTTGTACATGAACCAGAGTTGACCCAAGCCGCCCAAGTCTGTACATTGCGTGTAGAAGACTAGGCTGCCTGTCTTGACATCTGTAACATTTACGCCTTTGATTTCTTCCAGTTGCCTGATTGCTTCTGCAGTGTCAAGTAGGTCTTCCACTGTTCTGATTTCTGGTTTTACCTGCTCTAGCAGACCAAGAGTTTCGTCTGTGAAAGTTGTGATGTCGAGAGTGACAAAAGCCTTCTTTGCCGAGGCATAGCTTAGCAGTTCCTTGGGGGTTTTGACGGTTGGCTTCACCTGTGCAAGTATCTCTACCACGATGGTCAGTGGAGGAGGCATGTCTAGAGTACAAAGATGGTACATAAAGTCAGATGCATCGCGTACCAGATAACACCACTAAATCTATTTGAGAGCATTCAACAGGTTAGCATTTTGTAAACTGCGCTTGTACCTTAAGAAGTCGAAGGCTTGTAGATCAAGTCAAATAAGTTTTATTATACCGCCATGTTGAGCTGACACGTATGTGTTACCCGTTATAATGTATTACATTATAAAATTTACACTGATAAAATTTACCTTGTATTGGGCGTTTAAGTCCTCCAACGTTCTCCCATATAGTATCCGTGCCTCTCTTTCTTGTCTGAACTTGTTCTGGCTGTTGTGCAATGTTTACGGCTGCAAAGTGTTCAACATTTAGGTAGATTGATATTATGCAATCAAAATACAAATCGATGACAATCAAATCCATTCATCATATTTGGTAATCATAATCATCTTTAACTTAAAAGTTTAAGATGCTCGATCGAAAGTGTTCATTCTATGGAAATCTATCTCTTTTACATAACTTCTATTAGCTTATTCTTTTATTATTAGATGAGATAAGACAAAGATGTACTCACCTGCATCTGTACAAGCTTTGACGAACTTCTTATGAGATTCTTCCCAGTACTTTGAGGACAGAAGCTTCCTCTTACACCTTGCTGCTGCTTCAAACTCTGTCCTGCTGTGCTTTAGCATTCTCTCGATGCTGCGAGCTAGATATTTCACAGTGACACCTTCCTCATGTTCATCCATGTCAACAATGGAATGATGCAGTTCATCTACATGTTCATGGATGAAGTCTGCCAGCCCAGACTTGCTTGATACAAGAACAGGGACGCCTGCCGCGATGGCCTCCAGGCCGACCAGTCCGAACGGTTCAGCACGAGAAGGCATCAGGACCAGGTGGGCCTGCATCATCTCTTTATAGATGTCCTTCTGTGAGCCGTATGGGAGGAGGGTTATCTGTAGGTTTGCTGACTTACGGTGCTTTAGGATTGCCTTGCGTGTTTCAATGTCATCTTCGTCAACTCCCATGGCACGAAACTTAACTTTCATCCTCTCTGCTACAAGGCTCAGGGATTCAACAGCAAGGTCATATCCCTTCAGTTTTTCAACACCCTTCACCCTACCAATGGACAGGACCACCATTGTCTCTGTGCCCTTGTATTCAGCTTCTGCATCTTCAAAGATCTTGGAGGGTCTCGGAACAAACTTGACATGCTGAGGCCTCTTGCTGGCAGGTATTGCTCTGAACTGGTTCTCAAAGTGATCAAATATCTTGTTTCCAAGAGAAAAGACCACGTCAGCTTCTTGTGCATCTTCAAGGATGGAGTCTTCCTTCTTCCCGATGCCCATGGCCTTCTCATCTCCCTTGTAGTACTCGGTGTCTTCTGGTATGTCAGTGGTGAAGAGGACGACTCTTGCATCAGATGCAGGGTAACGTTCCTGTTTGATCCTCACCGCAGCCCTACTTGTGACGTCGGACTGACCGACAATGCTTCTGACCCTTGGGGGAAGATTTTGGTATTTGGACAGGTGGTCAAAGGTCAGCCAATTTGGTGATGGGTCAGTTCGACTAGGATCATCTGGGTCAAGTGTAGGCAGCAGTAGTTCCACCCCATCACGTTTTGCATTCTGGATGTCCTCTTCATTCGCTTTCAAAACTGTCATGAGCACAGGTATGTCTGATTCGCGTTCCTTAAGTATGTCTACCACCTGCTGGTTTAAGGGGGATGTTTCATCTTGCGATGAGCCATACTCAGTATGGACCAATAGCACAGCGGGGTTTTCTGCAAAGGAAAACATGACCGTGTACACTAGATTATTGGCGTGACCATTGAAAACAAATTATTTGCACAATGTCATGATAACTAAGTCACTTATCATGGAAATATCAGCAACAACTGTAGCTATACCAGGAAATTGAACTTGAATTCACGCCACATTTTAGTTCTACAAGTACAACTTTGTTTTGTTGATTTGACAACTTACTCATATAATCAATATTTGTACTGATGTTGTGATAACTAGCTAATTAGTTTGATCTTTCTTTATTTGTTCAGATAGATGGTTTGTATTATTTCATTATTTCTTCGAATTGTTTTTGTTTATTTCCTGCTATTTTGTCTTCTTCGTGTAAAATTTGGTTCATTTAGTAATAAGAGTAATTAATCTTTTAGTTTTGTAGTATTGGGGAGGGCCACAGATAAACCACCAGGTTTCCGGCCCTCCCATGCATGTCTACTTAACTTTCAATTGTTACGTTTTGAAAAATAAAGAAACAAGTAAAGAAATAAAAAAAAACGTCAGTAGCATTAACTTACCCATGGTTGTCCTAGAACATCAATTGATAATCGAATTCATGGCGTCCTGATGCACTGCTGGTAAGGTAAGACGTAAACTGGAATCATAGGTAACAAATTGATGTTAGTGGGGGGCTAGACTTCCTATAGGTGTCAATGTGGCATTTGGTCGATCTGATACACAAACACACAATACTTAAGGTTACGATATCTCTATTGAGATTTGTCTTATGCAGGTATGACCTTCGTGATGCGTCGTTTTTCGTCTGACCTTTGCCTGCGTCGTTTTTTTTACCAAACCCGGAAGTGACACGGAGTTTCGAACGACGTTTGTCACAAACATTCTAACTAGACTACCGCAGAAGGAAATACAACTTTTCTCTGCTACCGAATATTGTCAGCATTGTCTTTCAGGCTTTATTATATGTATAGCTAAGTTCTGTTAGCTAGTAAAACAAGTAGCTGCTTATATATCGTCAATTAGACGCCAACATAACGGCATTGTTGGCTTTAGATCAAAGTGCTTCATCACGTGTTTTGGCGTGATAACACACCTATGTTGAACATTTGGAAACAACAGTTCAACTTGGCCACTTTTCCCTCAAAACTGTTAAAGTTATCGACGTTAGTAACCTTGTCATCTTGTATAAAAGGTGCATTTTAAAAAACTTACCTTTCTTCGGTAGAATCAAGTGCTTTTTCGGCAGGTGTCCTATACGGGCTGAATAACGGTTCCGTCTTTTAGTTAGGTCAAACTTTGCGGTGAGCAAGGTAGTTTGTTACATGCCTTCTCATTGGTTGATAATAGTGTTTGCTTAATCACTCGTTTTTCGAGTAGCCGAGCTAAAACAAGTCTTTCAGTGCTCAAATCTTCACAACACATTATATGATTGTATATTTGAAAAATAGCGTGTTCTTTTAGTGTTGCTTTATTACGGCAACCTACCAACAAGTTGCACCAATCGTGGAGCGTTTAACAAGCAGGTCATCAGTTACACCTGATCAGTAGCTACGTCATAGTTGGGCTATACCATAGAGGGTCACAGGGGTGTATGCTTTTAATATTTGCTTATTCACATGTTTACACCAAGTATTTACTACATTATACAAAGCAAAAATATGCATAGTTAAAACAGATAAGGTGGCATTACGAAATTCTTTATTGACTCGAGTAAATGATAGTAAACAAGCATATAGAATCAATCATTGACAGGGATTGACTTATACAAACTGGTAATCTCATCATCATTTGCTTTGCAGGTGGGGAGGGGGGCTTTCTTTGGTGCACACTTCTCTGAGGCTGTGCCCTGCCTAGAACCTTAGACAACAGTATGTCAAATCTAGCAGGATATCTAGCAGGATATTCCACTGGCCCATACACGTGACACCCCTGAAGAACAGGCGGAATGTATCTGCGGTCAATCTTGTCGAAGAAAACCTGCAGAAACTTCTTGTAACAGTCGGGGTTAGACAACTGCCCGAAGATAACTTTGCTTTGCTATTTTTGACTACCAAAATCCCGGAAATTTACCAGAAATCGATCATTTTATTGTCTAAATCCAAGCTTTGTTTTGACGTCTACTATATGTAAATACGCAGATTTTCTAGTAACAATTTGCCGACGTTTCTGCTTAAAATGTTTCATAATAGTTGCAGAAGTGTTGAGAGCAAATCCTACTTGGCACTTTTAACTGACAATGACATTATCATATTCCTCACAAAACTTAAATTCCACCAGTAAAACTGTATGATTACATTTTCCCCTGTGAGAAGAATGTATCCATGTGCCAGTAAATATATTGATTTTAAAGGGAAATGATATGACATGATTACATATACATGTAAAAGGATTAGATATATGCACCAATGCATCAGAGTAAAAGACCAAACAATAAATCAGAGATTTGTCTTAAATGAAGTCATCAAACTCTTGTATTATAGAGTCTTTTTGTTGACAGGCTCACAGGATCCGAAGAAAGTGGACCCCAAACTGATCGTGCCGTTCTACGATAGTTTGTTCTGCTGCCTGCCGAACCGCTGGCTGAAGTGGCTGCGCTGTGGAGTCAGGCATGGGGAGCCCGAGGGGGTAAGTTGTTAAGCTTCCATCACCCGTAAAAGTCCGTAAAAGTGAGCGTATGTAGCATGCATATATAGGTTAGTAGAAGTAGAATGGTTTATTACAAGAACAAGAAAATGTACACACAAGCCTCATTGCAGCTATGATGGCTGAATTGCGAGGCCTATTCTGACATCATGTTGCATGTGACAAACTATATACATTCATAAAATTTAAATATATAGTTAAATTTAAAACGCGAATATTAGTTTAAAGTTAAAAGGTTAGCTTGAAGGTTCATCTGCATGCGTTGGTAGAAATTATTCTGGAACATGTTTGAACTGTCATTTCCAACACAAGAAATTAGACTTACCCAGAAGCGGTGAACCGCTTATTCTTTGACAAATAATGGAGATGAACAATGGAAAATTTTGGTAAGCCCACTCTCAAAATTACAGCCCAAACCTATTTCAACATATATGGGTGGGATAGTGCTTGTCTAACAATAAAAAACGTTATTATTCCGTTAAACATTAAGAGCTAAGAACGTCACCAAAAGAAGTTGTTAATCGACCGATTACCAATCAGCACCAAGGACAGACCCCATACCATGTGTGCACGCGCGTGTGTATGTGTGTGTGTGTGCGTGTTTGTTTGCTTGTTTTTAGATGACGCACACCTTCACACTGTATGTAAGTGTGTGTGACTATGTACGTCGATGAAGGTTAGACATCCAGGTAATACGATATGCCAAAAAACAGTTACTCAAGCAACTGGAGGGGAAAGCAGGTTTATATACACAACCTGTTGATTGATATGCAAATAAAGTGAAGACGGGGAACGGGGTGTTAAGAGGCAATATATGAAAGAATGTACAACCCCACCCTCAACAGGGAAGGGGGGCTACGGGTCGATCTTTCCGGCACTTGGGATTTGGCACTCCCAGCCCCGAGGACAGACAACACTTAAGCTCCTGTCCTGTATAACAGGAGCTTTCAGACTAATTTGCATCATCTTGTCTTGACTTGTCTGACTTTTGTTCCTTTTTCGACTTCCAAAAATTTGTCTTCACTTTATTTGCATATCAATCAACAGGTTGTGTATATAAACCTGCTTTCCCCTCTGGTCTCTCAGTCACTGACGAAAGCTAGTGGATACTAGCTGAAACGTCTGACGTTTTCAAAATCATATCCAGTTGCTTGAGTAACTGTTTTTTGGCATGTGTGACTATGTGTTTGTGCCTGCGTTTGCATATGTGTGTGTGTGCGTCCGTGCGCGCGCGCGCGTGTGTATGCGTGTTCTTTCTATATGTGTGTATATGCGCGCGTGTGTGTGTGTGTGCATATGTGTGTGTATGCGTGTGTAAGACCGTCTATAAATACCCGTAACCTTGACATGACGATTTTCTCCATCTCCAGGACAAGGCCGGTCTCGACGTCGAGTTGTCGCCTGTAACCAGCGGGCTTCCACCTACTGATCAAGGGACCAGGTTGTAAAACAGTCCGGGGACAACCACAAACCGTTTACGGTTAAAAACATCTTCAGGAACCGAGTAAAGAAGACTCTTTTTACACAACCAAGTCTTTTATTCAGCCGACATTTCAGTGACCGTCTGTCACCTTCCTCAGGGCAATTCTGACAGGTTCACATTGCATTGAAGCCCAGGTGTCGCAGGGACCGCATTGTAGATAAAATTCCCTGTAATCACACATATATATGCATTCCCAAACGTACAATATTTACATATCTACACATATGCGTGATTACATTGAACCGTATCTACAATGCGGTCCCTGCGACACCTGTGCTGAAGTGCAATGTGAACCAGTCAGAATTGTCCTGAGGAAAATGACAGACGGTCACCGAAACGTCGGCTGAATATAAAAGACTTGGTTGTGTAAAAAGAGTCTCTTAACTTAGTGTCTTACCAACCTGATGAAACCAGATCTTCGCGGGAACCATGCAACTGGTACTATTCCCTGATTGGCCACTACCCTGGTTATTTCACATCACACCAAATGTATCTCCGGCTTGTTTTTTTCCATCACATGAGCCTTTTTTAGTTGTATTAGTTTTAGACTTTATTTTAGCGTTAAAACTTTGTTCACGTTGATATACAATGTATCTCAATTCTCAGTTCTGAGGTAGCTATGTATACGTTTCCACAAAGATACACATGCCGTATACTAGTATCTAGCCCAGACCGGATCGTAGAATTCGTCAAAAAGGAGAGTAAAATTGGCCAAGGGAGTCCTGCCGCGGAAGGTTGTTTCAAGTTTCCCTAACTGCGGCCAAACTCCCCTGGCAAATGTATTCTCCTATATAGAGCCAGTGTAGTTAGTCTGGGAGAGACTAAGGTATATCTATGTGAGATCTAACTGCAGTATCTGTGATTGAAATTCGAACTAGTTCTATAGTTCATATAAATTCACTTATTAGATCCATCGCTCCAGAATGTTTTAGTGGGAACACGCTATTTGAATATTATTATGTTTACCGAAGGAAAATTGTTTTTGTTACGTTTCCTCTTCTTCTTCTTCTTCCGTTCCAAACACTGACCTCTGACCGAGCTAATGGCCTGATTTGGTGAGATCTATCACCATGGTAACTGGTGTCGGGTGACATCATGTTGCAATTTTACAGCAGGAGGGATTTAGACTCCTGTCTGACCATATGTATGGATGTGTTTGAGAAAGAATAATAGTAACAGAGCAAACCATATGCAAAGGTAAACATTATGCATTTGCCTTGCATATGTTGCCTTTCTAGTTATATAATTATATAGTAATTTGATACAGGCATACATATATGTATGGACGGATGACAGCACTAGTGCTCACAACACATACACTGTGTTAACAATTTATGATGTAACGAAAATATAATTTTCTCACCAATGACGCGCGTCTCTTATGTGTGTGTTTGTGTGTTTATTTCAATGGGAAGATAGATGTTGACAGTCTACTTGA